CATCCAATTTTCTACTAATACCTCAGTATGGTTCTGAGTTGGGACAAGGGGCCTGGGCCTTTCCTAACTTTTTCTTGATTGGCCACTGGATGCTGGATGTCTCCAGAAAAGGGGAGAGGGGTGACCTCAAGAGAAATGACCCCCTTCTGTCAGGAAACTCCCAAAGGAACTGACAGCCAAGGGCTTCCTGCTGTTGGCACTCCCAGTGGCTGGGAAGATTAGTTCTTCATTCTTGCAGGAGGATCCAAGCCATCACATCACAGCATCCACCACCTACACTGAAATGCTTAGGCAGAAGCCAAGTGGGTAGCACACACGTGGAATATCAGTGCTCTGGGAGGCTGAGGCAGGACAATCGAAGGTCCAAGTCCATCCTGGCAATTTAACAACTTAATGAGAACCTGTTTCAAAATAAGAAATAAAGAGATGAGGATGTAGTTCACTGCAAAAGCTCTGGGTTCAATCCTTAGTTGTTGTTTTTTTTTTAAATAATGATTAAACTGGTGTGGTGGCACACGCCTGTGATCCCAGCACTCAGGAGGCCGAGGCAGGAGGATCGTTGTGAGTCCGAGACCAGCCTGGGCTACAAAGTGAGCTCAAGGCCAGCCTGAACTGCACAGCAAGATCCTGTCTCAAAAAGACAAAAAATAAAAATAAAAAATAAAAAAATAAAACAATGATTAGACCGAAACTAGCAGAACCAGGAACCTCCTGTGCACCAAATACTTCCATATTCAGCATCACTGAATTCTCTAACCACACAGAGGGGGACTCGGGTGCCATGAGGGGCCATTACTGACTCAGAGTCTTTCCTCAATATCACATTTGCCTAACGACTATTGAAAACTGGACGATTCAGAAGTATTTATTGATTCACATCTTAAAATTAACATTTCCTGATCTACTGTACTATGTGCCAGACATCGCAGATTTACAGAAAAATTTCAAGAATATATATTTTTTTTCTAGGGCTGATATATAGCCCTATATAAATAGGGCAGATAAAGACAGATATATAGATAGATAGATAGATCAGTTACCAGGCCTGGAATCCCTCCTTGAGATCTGTCCTCACCTGCCATATACAATCTAGCAATAAATCTTAGTATTTCTAATTCCAAAATAAATCTTGCATCTTCCCACTTCCAACTGTTACGCCCCTATTCCTACACACCTTTGCCTTCTGTTCTGCCAAAGCTTCTTCCTTTTTTTTTTTTTTTTTTTTTTTTTTTTGAGACAGGGTCTCGCTATGCAGTTAAGGTTGGCCCTGAGCTCACTTTGTAACCCAGGCTGGTCTTGAACTCGCATTGATCCTCCTGCCTCAGCCTCCTGAGTGATGGGATTGCAGGTGTGCACCTCCATGCCCAGCTCTGCCAAAGCTTCTTCAGCAACCTCCTAATGGTCACTCACATAGTCTTCAGAATGATTTTTCCCAAACACACAACTGTCCATGTTTCTGCCCTGCTTAAAGTCTTCCAATGGCTGCCCTTGGCTTTTAAGGTAAAGTCCAAATCCTTTAGAAGCTTTACACATATCCATTTCATAACTATTTATTAAGCATCTACTATGTGCAAGCACTGCAGTAAGGATGTAGCTCAGTGGTACAGCACTTGCCTAGTGTGTGTAAGGCCTTGGATTCAATCTCTAGCACTGAAAAAACAAAAGAAAAAGAAAACCCCACCTTTCTGAAGAGTATAATTTAGTGGAAACAGAAAGAGAGAGTCATAAAAAGAGAATTTACATGGGTAATTGTTTCCAGGACTGATCGCAGTACCGTTATCAGGAGATGCTCAAAGTTTTGCATATGAAAAATATTGAAAATCATGTAGTTTTTTTTTGTTTTTTTTTTTTTTTGTTTTTTGGTTTTTTCTCCGGTACCAGGAACCGAACTCACGACCTTGCGCTTGCCAGGCAGGCGCTTTTGCCGCTGAGCTAAATCCCCAGCCCCTGAAAATCATGTAGTTTTTGCACAAAATCTAAGAACATCCTAAATATCCCCTGGAAGGCAAAGTCATGCTTATTTGAAAACCCCTGATCAATAGTAACAGAATGGATGACAGATTACTGTCAGAGAATAAATGAGAACACTATTCAGTGGATGAAATAAAGAGACGGAGCTGAATAAGCACAACAATTAAAATGGGAATACACCCATAACTTACTATGGTACACGCATTCCCATTTGAGATGATCTGCTTATTCCAAAGAAGCCCATTATCTCTGGAACATCTGTCTGTTATTTCATTTGACACTTACTATAGAAAATGAGAGCCTTGTGGGCCGGGCACAGTCTTCAAGCAGGCCAGACAGCTGATCTTTTGGATTCTGAGAAAGCATGGAGCTCAGCAACTGGCAAACTGTCAGAGCCCAAGGAGTACAAGCGATAACCTGAGCGAGACTATTGTTGATTGACATCCAGAGACATACTCACTGAAGTGAGTCTCTATGATTGGCTGAATGAAAGGGTTATCATTGATTGAGCTGACAAAACCATGTTCACTGGGGTGAATTACTGTTAATCAATTGAACTTTAACCTGGTTGATTGCTCATTGTTACTACAACTAACAGAAAAACCAATCATTCCCAGATGTATGTGAACTTTAAAAATTTTCAGTAATCTATATGCTATTGGGTAAGGTATGGTAGAGGAAGTTTTCTTTCCATTGCTTTTTTTAGGCTAAAAAGGAACCAAAGCAGAAAGGGAGGGTAGCCTAGGTGGAGGTATTGGAGGTACTGATGGAGAGAGGTATAAAATAGTCATCTAGGAGAATGGGAGAGAGCCAGGTCTTGGAGTGCACACCTGCAGGAGGCTGAAGCAAGAGGA